ATATATATATATATATATATATATATTACGGGGTGCGTTCCCTGGTCAAAAACAAACACCAAACTCCACATCAACGTCATTCAGATTTTGCTTCTGTATAGACCCAGAGGGCATTGAAGTTATCGCAAGTAGGCATAACCTAAAATAAAATGCATTAACATTAGTTCTAGCACGGCATCCACTCGTATTTCGTACACCTGATGTTTAAAATAATTCCCGTTAAATTTGACACATGCTCACTAAAGCCACCATACACACACTAAAACATACATGTGTACTCTGGATCAGTGTGTCTTAATGTGAGAGAGGTACCCCCACCCAGGGGGACGCCGAAAGTGCTAACGGTTTAATAACAAGGTAAATCTATCCTTGTAACAGGCCATGAAGGCCCGTAGGGGTTATGAGACGTCGAGGCTCCTACATTTTCTGTAGACAATGGGCTCACAGAGGGCGGTAAAGTTTTCAGCCTTACGTGCCGGCCGCCCTTTACCCCTCAAGAAGATTCCTGGTACTCATTTCTGTTAGAGGCTGAGTCGACCTCAGGGCCATCGTGCGGCTGGAAGGATTACGTAAATTGAAAAAAATCCACCTTATCGGGAATCGAACCCGCGACTTTCCGGCTTGTAGCATAGTGCTTCAACCAACTACGCTACTGCGTGGGATCATACATAAACCGGTAAATTAATATGAAAGGTCCGCATTATATTGCAAACACCATAATAGGAGAAGTACGTCATATATAGTTAAGGTTTATATGTAATTACATTTTTAAATCGATGAATCTCATTTTAAGTTACTTTCATAAGTTGGGAGCTCAAACGTTTTTATTCACAACAAGAGAGCCTCAGACTAAAGAATTCTCGAACTACTGCACTGCACATCTCCGCTATAACGACCAACCGGTTAATGCTGTTTAGGGAATCAAATGCTATTTACTGTCAGACCCATATGAAAGCGGAGTTCTAGTATGTTACAGCAGGTGATACATATAATAACCAGTGGGCTCTAAAGGGTTAAGACTTTTAAGACTTGAAGGCCCCGGCCGCTTTCACCCGGTGAAAGGCCCCCGGTACCCATTGGACAGAAAGGCTGGGTGGATCCCAGAGCAGCTCTGGACGTTGTGGAGAAGAGAAAATCACTTCCCCTATAGCTATACTGACTGAGCTACCCAGATCGCAAAATGATTTTGGGCCTATTGTCTAAGTCGTGTAAAAGGCAGAGTTGTCCCCATGCTTCATTATTTAAACATCACGCCATTAAAGGGTATGGGAGTGGAAGACTAGCTCCACCATTAAAGAGGATTGGACGCTGTGGGAGGGATACATATGGTCCATGTGGTACACAGGGTCCAGTGGCGAACTCTTGTAAACACGGTAACGAATCTTCGGGTTCCATAAGAAACGGGAAATTTCGAGGCGATGTAAGCGACTCTTAGCTTCTTAAAAACGACTCTGCTCCACGAGGTTTGTTTACAGGACTATTTATTCTGTGTACACAATGTTTATTACATGTCCCATTTCTTTCTCAAGCAGTACGTCGACGGAGGGAAATGCAGACTACAGGTCTACTACTCGTACTTACAGGCTTCTCTTCAGTCATCCAACCGACGGAGTGGGCATAATGGTATCGCTCTGGAAACATTCTATGGTGCTCGGATCGAATCTCTGCCGCACTCCCGATTATCCCATTACGGCTTCTCGTGTTTTCCCTGTCCCTCAAGGCAAATGCCGGGACAAAACTTCCTTCCAAATCCTTTCCAATTCATCATTCTCTAATCATCCTACCATTCATTATATAATCTATACACTAACAGCAGCGAAAAGCAACCCATCAAATCTTGTGTAGAGATCTAGGAACTCAGTTCCCATTAGCTGCAGCGTAAGTCTGCATGCAGCCCACGGTTTGGTCAATTGGTACAGAGTATCTGAGACATGCTGCATTCTGAGAATACACAAGAAACATCTTGTATTCGTTTATGCACATTAGGGTGCAACGAGCTTTATAAACTGTGTTCTTGAGGTGTTTATCCAATATCTCAGTCATACAACTGCGTATTCATATACAAGTCTATGGCTAAGCGACGACCGGAACTTCTGTCTATCTAAATTTATCTTCACTTGTGTTGGATGAAGACTAACTGTCAGTCATATCGGTTGACCTCAAAAAAGGACTGCTTGGTTGTTCAGTCAGTTATTCTTTTCATATACTTCGATTATCAAGTCAGTATATCAAGCTGTACGAGCCTGTGACGTCATATTCGCAATATATGGAAAAGTGTACCTATGTTGGTTTATTAAGACCGGCATTCAAACTTCGACGGTAATAATTCCTGGTCATTTCAATGCCAACTTATTTTACATGGCTCCATCACCAGCTGGCTTTATGTAGGGTCAGAATAACATGGCAGAAATGATAAAACCAAAAGATGCCATGGCAACTTGTCACGTATAGGGGTTGGTGTGACTAATAATAATGGGTTCTGGATTCAATGACTGGATTCATTGGCACTTCTTTACAATTGAACGGAATATGATTTGCTAGGCAACGCTTCGGTAAACACATTCTCGAGGTAACGCAGTCAACAGTAGTAGCCAACGTTTCGGCAATCATGTTTTCGTGACAACACATAATTTACATGGATGTGGGCAAGCGACAAACAATTTCCATGGATACGAGCTAGCCTACAGAAGGAGCCGTGCAGAAAAGAAGGGGTGATTCGTCAGACAGACGTCGTTAAAGAGAGTTCAATGTGTGAACAAAGGTTTGTAGTTCGACATTCGTCACAGCGGAAGAGAAGACGCTCGTGGTGCAGCAAGGAATGGAGCGAGTCTTACACAGTCATTGATTGTGAGCTGTCACATTATATTAAGGCATCCCAGAATTTGCACGAGACTGAGAAAAATCGTGAAGTCCATCGAAAACAGGCCGTCTCTAGCCGTGTGTGCAACCGGGCAAGTCTCCAACACCCTACCGTCGCATCAAACCGGTTGACTGTCATTCAGACACACTGCCGCTGTTATGAATCCACTCGTTTTTTATTCAGACACACTGCCGCTGTATCAACTTGTTCGGCTGTTACTGAGAAACACTGTCATTGTATCAACCCGGTCGGCGCTTATTCAGACACACTGCCGCAGTATCAACTTGTTCGGATGTTATTGAGAAACACTGTCATTGTATCAACCCGGTCGGCGCTTATTCAGACACACTGCCGCAGTATCAACTTGTTCGGATGTTATTGAGAAACACTGTCATTGTATCAACCCGGTCGGCGCTTATTCAGACACACTGCCGCTGTATCAACTTGTTCGGATGTTATTGAGAAACACTGTCATTGTATCAACCCGGTCGGCGCTTATTCAGACACACTGCCGCTGTATCAATCCACTAGGCGGTTATTCAGGCACGCTGACGATGCATCAACCAGACTGTGTGTTATTCAAACTCCGGTCATTCGTTGTCTTCCGAGGACTACTTTGTTTTATTCAGTTGCTTCGACGACAGCAAATACTTTAACACGTCTTTCGTTCCAAGGGACGACTAATTTCGCGTGCCTGAATTTGAACAATTTTCTCCTTTGCGACTTTCCTGTTTCCCACAGATGCAGGGATTATGGGCTATACCTGCGCCCTGTACCATGATTATGTGTCCACTCATCATAATCTCTGATACTGTTTAAACAGATCATGTAGCAAAACTGCTAGACCTAACCGACAGTACAGGTTCCCTCTAGCTGGATTTCCGTATATTCAACCCCAAGTCAGGTGATCACTCAAATGATAGTAGAGCAGCTAAATAGACTGAAGGTTCATATTATGAATTTTGGGGGGGGGGTCGAGACACCATCTGGAAGGTGGGTATCAATGTTTCGGTGCCTGTCTCTATCTAGGAAATAGGCGTTGAGAACAATACTTGGACCTAGCAGGCAGGAAGGAAGTCTGTTTGGTTGAACAGCTAACATAAGTTCCGGTAGACAGATTCACAGATCTCAGCATTTTACACACAAACACACATACCCGTATGTACTGTATAGGTCAAAAGCTGGAATGTTCCAGGAATCAGGTCACCAATAGGATGAATGCAACATTCCGAAGAGAGTGGAGTCTGTACTCATCGCGCACTGAAACAGTGGCATATAACAACACACTGTCCGGGTTCTTTGCTGTACTGTAATCAACAGAATTCCAGTCTGGGGCATGAAGAATTTACATATGCATTCTGTTTAATTAAAGTCGGTTCTCGTGTTACACATCACGCACTGAAACAGTGGTATACAACAAAATGTCCGTGTTCTTTATTACATGATAACAAACAGCAATCCACTTTGGACGAGGAAGAATTTCCGAATGAGTTCTCAGCGATTTTCCATCCACTGTCAACCTCGATGTTCATTTATTGTAGACACAAATAGATTATTGACAGAGTAGCCAATGCTATGGATATTCTACGTGTATATATGACTGGAGCGATAAAATCATCTTGGGCTTAGCCCAACGTTTCGGACCTCTTGAATACAAAACAGCAGGGCTGCTGATAGACTGCGATATTCATTTATTCAATCCAAGAATCGCCCGCCCGACGTCAGTCACTTTTCTTCTTCTTCTTCTTCTTCTTCTTCTTCTTCTTGTTGTTCTTCTTCTTATTATTATTATTATTATTGCTGTTGTTGTGTGGGCAGGTCATATAGCACGAATGGGGGAGACGAGGAATGTGTATAGGACATTGGTGGGAAAGCCAGAAGGAAAGAGACCACAGGGAAGACCAAGGCGTAGGTGGGTGGACAATATTAGAATGGATCTTAGAGAGACAGAATGGGATGGTATGGATTGGATAGATCTGGCTTAGGACAGGG